GGGCCAGATGCTGAGTGTTTTGAGAAGGCAAGCAAAGCCAGGCTAGAGCCCGAGAGAGTTGCAGAAGGGACCATGGTAAGAGCCCTACAGAGCAAGTAAAATGACTGCCTAGCCAGGTAAAAGCTCTAGCAGCAGCAGCACGTGCTACCAACATGGGTCTCAGAAATGCAGCTCAGACCCTTGCTCTCCCGGTTGGAAGTGTGTCTAGGGAAAGATTTGAAGTGCTGAACACCCAAAATGGGAGCTTGATTGTAGGTGCTCAGCTCCCCCATTGTGACACAACATGCTGAGCTCTTTTGATAATCTGGCCACTTAAAGGGGGAGCTGAGCTTTTTTGGAAATTCTGGCCTCATCTTCTGGGGACAAAACCACACTCCCCTCCACCCCCAGTTCCTCAGACCAACCAATGACTGGCTCTAGAAAATGGTCCCCCAGCAGGCCCTGTCCCAGGATTTCTTGGATGGTCTGGATTTTCCAGGATGTTCCCAGGTTCCAAAATCCCTTTTGGGACCTGCCAAACACCAGCATTGCAATGGTACATCTCAATGGGTATTATGTACAATTTTAGTGGTCTTAGCTGGAAGCTTTCTCCCCTTGACTGAGCAGGTAGGAGTTATGCTATGCTGGCCTCAGCTGGGAACCTCCCCAAACTGAGAAGCTAGGAGCTAGAGTCTGGCCAACACTGGACCTTTGGTGTATTTTCTGTATATACCTAATAAAGCATGATCACTATGCGTGTATTCCCTCCTCTCCTTCCTGCCCTAATGTACTTGCTGTTGTTCCCAACAGGCCTTCATGTTCGAGTCCTCCTTCAGCATGGCTGTTACCACGTGGGGCCTCAAGACCTCCAACTGTCTAGATAGGACCTACTACAAGTGCTGGGAACAGCTGAAAAGCCATTTTAATCCCAGCTGCAAGTAAACAGAAGTGAGCTGCTTGTGCGCTCTCAGGCCAGTCACACTGATGGGAAACAATCAGTGATACCTACAGGGGCAAGGGCTGGTAAAGGAACAAACGTTCCTCAGTACAGCGAGCGCCATTGCTCTGCAGCCATTTCAACAGCGACTGATTAAATGAATTACTCTTGCAAACCTGCGTATCTAGCCTTGAATCGCACCACAGTTCTGAGCTTTCAAGTATCCAATTAAAGTGTAAGAGCTGCAGTGCCCATGCCATGGGGCTCCCCCAGCAGGTGGTGTGGTGTGAAATCGGTGCCTTCTACTGAAGTGAGATAGTGGTAGACTTCCTCTCAGGACACTCATGAAAATATGACACATCTTTCACACGGGGATGCTCAGGAGCAACGATTTATTAAACAATACTCCAGAAATGATCTTTCAGCGAGAGGGTAAGAATAAATAGGAGTTAGAGGAGCTAGCCAGGTCCGGTCTTAAATCCAGCAGACCTACTGTCAATCAAGGGAAGGTTACCCTTCCAATGACACACAGCCCAATCTTCAGCACTTACTAATATATCATCATTTCCCTGCAACTTCTGTCTGGGTTTGTCAGCACTAAGAATGGGATCCATAAAGCAACCTAGGCACGTAAATCTCAGTTCTAGGCCCCACTGTGCTGCACAAAACTCTTTAGGCATCTATAGGGTTCAGCAGCAGCCAAACTCACTCAGTGCCTGAATTTTTGCAGGCAAAGTTCCATAAGCACATAAGTTTCTGCCACTGGGCCCATGCACTGCTGCCTCTCTCTAGGCATCCAGGTGTCTCTCTTGCCCAAGCCTCAGAGCAATTCATGAATTGGAGGAGGGATAAGTGTTCGGCCACCTAAACTGCATGCAGGGTGTGATCAGGTAGGCATGCTCAGAGGCTAACTCCACACAAAACAGGTGGTGGGGGGAGGAAAAAAAGAAGAGTTCCCTTAGCCTAGTGACTAGGGAACTCACCCAGAATGTGGAACACCCCAGATTCAAGCCCCACCCCTTTATTGGATAAGGTTTTTAATATGGTTGTTACAACCTTGACTCCCCATTGCTTTGTGAGGAGGACCTTATATCAGCTTAGCTTGATTCTTTACCAATTACTATAGCACATTCAGACCAAATGAGTGCCCCCACAAGAGGCTGTACCCATTTAAATCCATTTCTAAACCAATTTAGTTAAATCAGTACAATTTTCCTATGTAGACAAGGCCTTATTTGTTGAGTCCACTAGAGCACGAGGAGAGTCCAGGGCACATATCTGGGATTGAAGCAATTGCACAAGTCCCCTTGTCAGCAATAATTTACACACCTTACTTTGAGAAAAGGGGCAGAAGCATATCACAACTTATTTGCCAGAAGAGGGAAAGAGAAATGTAAATAGTTTAGTGCATAGAGCACAGGATTTGGCATCAGGACACCTAGGGTTTTTTGTGTTTAGTCACTGCCAACAATGGGCTTGACCCTGTACAAGATGTTTGGCTAGAATATGTTTTGTACATGCAGAGTATTATGTAATATCCACCATGCAGCACTTGTGCTAAAATAGAAAACTCAGAAGAGGCTGTTTACCAACAATCATTGAACTGGCCCAGGGTGAAGCTAAGGGCTTGTCTACAGATGGATCTGTTCCAAATTAATTTTGAAAGTGAATTAAGCCAGGAACAAGGCACTTTTGTTCTCAAATAAGTGTCCACACATGGCATTGTTCAGGAATTGCTATTGTACTTTAAATTCACACCCTCCCTTAATCAACATTAACTTTCAAGCATAGATACACCCTAAACCAAAATGCCCTAGGGACTGAAGGGCAAGTTTTTGTTTTCTCATTGGGGGGATAACCCATGAGAGCCATAGACTATTTGCCTGCTTGAAACTCTCCTGCTATAGGCACATCTCTATAGCTGACACTGGGAGTTGTGCGCAAATTATGCATGCAACAAGGGTTTTTACACTTGCTCACTCTCCTCCCCAAATTTCTGATTGGAAATATTATCTTTTCTAAGAAATATCTCCACCTGAACCGCAGCCAAGCAACAACTCAGCTCTGGCAGCACAGTGTGCTCCTCACAAGCAACAGAAAAGGCAGCCTGGAGAACTCTGAAAATAATGAGAAAGAAGAAACAGGCCAGACTAGCTCCAAGCACCAAACTCCAGTTAATGGGGAGTAACCTCATTCCCTCTGAGCTACGCAGAGAGGCTAAGGCATATGTATTCGCAAACCAATTGGAAATGCTCCCTATTCTTCTGCAACCCCTACTGAACAATTTGTACAAAACAAATACAGCTGCAAGGGAGAATTTACATGTGTGGTAACCCAAGGCCCCATTAGCTGAGGAAACTGGTCCTGAGAGATCATATCAGTTTGTGGCAGCAGGTGGTGGTTCATTTAGCATGCTTAAACAAGCATTGTGGGCAATTATTTCTTTCCCTAAATACCACTTTCTTCATGCATCCATGCCTTTCCTTTCACTGACCCACAGTTGTATTTTGTGATGTCATTTGAGAGGGTGAATCTGTTGTGGAAAGAGAATGATCTGCATTTGCTTGATTTAACATACCTGGAGAACATAGGAGGGAGCTGGGTGAGAGAGAATAAACTAAGGAGCAGATCAAAGACAGGCTACAGCTCTGCATAGCTGCTGAACAGCTCCAGTGCCTGCTAATTAGTGAGGAAGAGCACAGATTTCACCTATGTCAAAATGGGAATTAATACAAATCTCAGAAGAGCAGGATTTTGACGCATGAATGCTATGTAACAGGAGCAGGAAAGGGAGAGAAGTCAGCATGTTCAGCCACTTCTGGCAAAGGAGACTGCGAGGGACTTGCTCTCTTTCTTCCTTATGTTGCTGGAAGCAGCAGCACAAGTGTGTTCTTGCTTGTGTTTTACCTTAGTAATATCAAGAACATCGCTGTAGGGCCTCTTGGAGGTCTCAAGTGGACTGGGAGAATTTTCACCCTTTATATGAAGGGAGACTTCTCTCAGGTGTTTAAATCAAATAGGTGTTTTCTGTTGTTTAGACTGTGGTGATAGCATTTAGAGGCCAAACAAAAAAACTAAGTTATAAAAAGTCAATTCCTCTCAATTTTCACTCACTCAGTATTTGTGATTTCATAGTCTTATTAGTTTTCAAGTCATCCAGGGCCAACTAGACCTGTATTTCTAATGTAAAGAATAAGCAGAAAAGACACCATTTTCAGGCCTTTTACGTCCACAATGTAGGGAAGCAAAAGGCCACAAAAGCCCACTTAGTTACAGGGCATGCTGAGAAAAATAAGCTCTTTGCTTTTGAAACAGCACCTTTAGCCACAGATTTTAAAAAGACTTTGCACATATTTGTTCGCAAAACCCTCACGATGTGTCCTCTTTAACCTTCCGTAAAAATGAGCAGAGGTGAAATGACTTGCCCAAGATCATACAGTGAGTCAATGGCAAATGGGACTAAAACCCACATCTTATTTCCTGTCTCACTAATTCAGGGGTTCCCGTGAATGAGAAAGTGTGGTTGGCCAAAATGTGAAAGCTCTGAGCTCATACTGAGTTGGATCCAGCAATCCTTAGGTTGGAAGAGATCCCATGAAATCATTGAGAAGTTTACCAGAGTACAGGTTTCTGTTTTACTGGGGAAAAAAGGGAAAATTAATCTGAGTTGGTTTAATGTGAGGCTGGCTGCTCTGAGAGAAAGAAGCCAGGCAGCTTTCTAACCTTCTCAGCCCATTTAATGAATTATTCAAAATATGAAATTAAAAGTTGCCCAATATTCGATTAGAGTGAATACAGCTACATAACTAAACTGAGTCCAAGACAAATTCTGAAAACACAACAAGACAGCCACTCAGATCATTTCTTGGACCTACTTGATGCTTTAGCCTGCTATAAATTTTAAAATTCATCCTGAGGCTACTCTTAGATACAGGCATGTGGCTCTCATGGATTAAATGGAAACTCTGAACATGCATCCAAGGGCACAAATTAATGTCTTTTTAAAACTCCTGTACACATTCTGTCTGTAATCTGATTGGTTTCAGTGTTAGACAAGAAGATTCTACAGTAAGTCATGATCCTATGACTGTAATAATATAAAGTTTATTTTGATAGAGGATGTCTTTTCATCAATGTACAATACACAGCACTTTCTATGAATAGCCCAACAGCAGCACTGCAACATCCAATTCCCAGGAACTTAGAAAGCAAGAGCAAATGGTCGCTTGTACTTGCCTTCCTGAATAAGTTTCTCTTTACGATCCTGTATTGAGGAGGAAACAAACAAAAATCATTATCCCGCGAAAAGAAAAAAGATTTGCTCCATGACACAGACTGATCTTCAAGGAGAAAGAGCTCACAAGTTCTTAAGCACAGAAGCTAGAGACAGCACCAATTAAACAGCGCTCTAGAAACAGCTGTGAGGACAAAAATATCCTGTCATTCACCTGTGCACATCAGCCAGAAATGCAAAACATCCAATGGCAGAAGCAGCTGTGTAGCTCATCCCCTCATAAATAAAGTGATGGGCAGAGATGGAATAAACCTCTATTAAGGCACATCCATCCCACTTCCATTAGCCAGTGAGGACTGTTCCCTATAATGTATTGTCGCCAGGGCTTTGTCTTGACTAATTTAAAACATCTTAACTTGATGGGGCTTCCACCCCTTCACTTGGGTGAATAACCCACAGTTTAATATTTCACTGTCAGGAAAAAAAAAAATCACTATGTTCTACCTACATTTTTCTTTGTCCACTTTTCACCCTCATTATGTTACCTTGCACCACCTTATTATTTATATTGGGTTAGCAACCAGGAGTCCCAGTCATGGACCAGGACCCCATTGTGCTATGTGCAGTACAAACACAGAACAGAGAGACTGTCAATTTTTTGGGGTAGGGACAATCTAAGTAACCAGAACCAATCACCTCCAATCTTGGTGTTTACACCCTTAGTACTTTGGAAAAAGGGGGTAATTTGCTCCCTCCCTCCATAAAGGAACTGGTGAGATAACCCACAGAACTATTGTGTGATAAAGTTGAAAGCTCTAAATATCCCGTCAGCATATGCAGACTTCAATTATATTCAGCCAATTTCATATTCCAGTTTTCTTGTGCCTGGCCAATGCTGAAGCATTTGGATTGCAAGACACTGCAGGGGATGTTCACATTCAACCAAAAAGTGTTTGAAGTTACACAACAATCCACCAACAGGTTCTGGAAAAACTTAGTATCAGAGGGGTAGCCATGTTACTCTGTATCCACAAAAACAATGAGGAGTCCGGTGGCACCTTCAAGACTAACAGATTTATTTGAACATAAGCTTTCGTGGGTAAAAAACCCACTTCTTCAGACGCCCAAATAAATCTGTTAGTCTTGAAGGTGCCACCAGATTCCTCGTTGTAAAAACTTAAATTCCGTATTTTGGACTCCATCTACAAGATACTGTCCCTTTAAAAAAAAATTATGAGTAATTTAAATTGGCACTTCTTCCCAATCAGTGATTCGACAGGTCAATCAGGGTTTTATTTCCTTTTTTAAGATATGCAACAGCTTTTCATATCAGTGGCAGCTTTGATTAAACATTAGATATCACTTTCCCAAAAAACTGAACATACTGGAAGTGTTCTAACACTGGTCAGAATTTTATAATGCCAAATTTTAGGAGGCAAGAGAAGTAGAGTGACCAGATCTCCCGATTTTATAGGGACAGTCCTGATTTTTGGGGCTTTTTCTTATATAGGCACCTATTACCCCCCACCCCTGCCCTGATTTTTCACACTTGCTATCTGGTCACTCTACAAGAGAGGGATTAAGGTAGCATCTCAAAAAAATCAGACTAACAGAGAGTCCATTCCTAAATTATTTCATGAGAGAGAGGAAACGCATGAATGAGTGGTCCAGAAGGTCCTTGCCAGCTCGGTCATTTATGAATTGACAGATAACAATACGTTTTCTAAAAACTCAATTAGCTGCTAATTATTCTCAAGTCTCTCTTGCAGTTTGCTTACATAAATGATATTAAGAGCCCTCTTACAACAGAAGAAAAACTAGCTTCTGTGGCCAAACAAAAATCACCCACATCTGCGGGCATAAGACAGCACTCTTAGAAGGTGGCTTTGCAATCAGTCCCTAGTGCTTTGGGGTACTCCTCCCGCACTAGTTGTCCACCCTCAGGAACAGGTGTTCTACTCAGCTACTCCTGCATGTAAGCACATATATTATAGCTTTGTTTTTATTAAAGTTGTACATGCCTAGTCAACAAACTTACCCTGTCAGCTTTGAGGACATACCACCAGACGAAAATGGGTACTAACCCAGACAACGCACCCAACAGGGAAGTCTTGGGAGTGGGCCGGAAATTGGGGTAAATGTTGTACGTTCTAGCATAGGTCCAACGGTTCAGGGCAGGGTCCTCCTAAATTGAAGGCAATGCACAGTGAACAATGTTAAGTTGCAGAACTATGAACATTAGCAAGCTTAGGGTTGGACATTTGACTGATCCAAAAACAATTAGTCAGTTGGTCAGTCAATGTCAAAAATGGTCAAATATTTTAACGCACTAGTTCAGGGGTTGGCAACCTACGGCAAGCGAGCCGATTTTGAGTGGCACGCAGCTCCCTGCCGCGGTCCCGGCCCTAGCCCCACTCAGCCCCCCCGCCCACCGCTCTCCCCTGCGGGGGCAGGAGGCAGAAGCTTGGTTCTGTGGCAGCCAAGCTTCCCCCCTCCCCCGCTTCTTCCCCCAGCATGGTGCTTTCCTGCCCCTCCCTCCTCTCCTTCCCTGCGCCAATCAGCTGATGGCCCTAGCGAAGGGGAGGGGGAAGAGCGGCAGCGTGCAGACAGCTCCGTAGAGGATGCAAAGAGAGGTAGGAACGGAGCCTGGGGGAAGGGGGTGGAACAGGGCATATCCCTTCCAGACCCCTGCCATGAGCCGCTCCTGAACCCCCCCAACACACACCCAGCCTTCTGCCCTGCACCCCCACAGCCCCATCCCTCTGCCCTGAACCCCTCCCCCACAGCCTTCTATCCTGACCCTTGAACTCCCCCACAGCCTGCCTTCTGCCCTGCACCCCCCCACACCCCCAGCCCTCTGCCCTGATCCCTGAAACACCAACACCCCCCCAGGTCTGGGGTCCCGGCCGCAGGCCCTGCTCAGCCCACTGCCGGCCTAGGTGAACAGAACCCCAGGCTGGCAGCGAGCTGAGCAGGCTGGTGGCATAAGATCAGCATTTTAATTTAATTTTAAATGACACCACTTAAACATTTTGAAAACCTTGTTTACTTTACATACAATAGTTTAGTTATATAATATAGACTTATAGAAAGAGACCTTCTAAAAACGTTAAAATGTATTACGGCACGCGAAACCTTTAATTAGAGTGAATAAATGAAGACTCGGCACACCACTTCTGAAAGGTTGCTGACCCCTGCACTAGTTTATTAGAACAGTAACAAAAAGGAGTCAGACTTCATAGTCTCCAATAGGATTACCATTAGTTAGATACTTATGCCTAATTACAACATATAAGTTAAACAGTTATTTTAACTCAGAAAAATGCCAAAATGAAATTAATTTCTAAAAACCATGTAAAAATAATTACCTTTTTAGCAATGGTAAATTAGCATTTAAATGTGAACGTTATGAACAGTTACAAAAGAAATTAAGTTAAAACAGAAATAAAACAAACAGCATCTATAAGAGAGTCACTTTTAATTGCACTTATGCAAGGCAGGCAGCAGGCCAACTCTTCAAGCATCTTGCTCTTTGTTATCTTTTTCCTTTGTCAGCCTCAACTGCTTCTTCTTCCTCTTCATCTGCTATTTTCTCTTCCAATATTAAATTGTGATACATGGTCACCAGCTTCCCAGCAGTGAAGGTTTTCAGTCTATTTCTGGTTGTTGAATGGATGATTTTCAAACCGACCAATTTCATTCCTCACATGCAGTCGTACACAGAAGTGTTCAGCATTTCTGCCACTGTACTTAGAGTTCAAGGAGGACAACCCTCTCCACTATGATGAAGGAGCAGCTGTTTTGATTCAACTTCTGGGATTGCACTCGACATTGTTTTATAACTGAACAGGCTGATTCTTGCTTTATAATTTGCTACCTCCATTAGAACTGTTTGTCCATTTATAAAGCCTTTAAAATTTGCACAATCACTACGTCACAAGCTGAATCAAATTGATCATCAGAAAGCTCTTGGCCCTGGAAGCGCAGATCAAGAAGGTAAGCAGCATTATGTATGTGAGTGATCACTTGATTTTTTCTGTGATATTTATTTTGTCTATTTTCTTCTTTTCAGCTGTCACACAACTGAACACAGTCCACTTACAAATAAGTTCCTTAACATTCTGAAACTGTTCTTGGCATCACACAGTTTAGCAGTATCATTTTCTGTATTCTGCAGAGACTGAGCTACAGTTCAAATAGTTTTGAGTTTGGCATCCAAAAGACAGTCATCAAGAAACTCAGTACGGATTACTTGGGGTTGAAACCCAATTACTCCTTCAACAGCAGCTGACTGAAGAGCCCTCTTGCTTACATGAAGATCTTTGAGACTTTTAATAGAAGTAGAGTACGACAAGGCTTACTATGTGCAGATATCAGAGGAGTAGCCATTTTAGTCTGGATCTGTAAAAAGCAACAAAGAGTCCTGTGGCACCTTATAGATGAACAGATGTATTGGAGCATAAGCTTTCGTGGGTGAACACCCACTTCATCAGACGCCTGTCTGTGCGGATGAAAATTTCAGATCTTCAGTATCACCAATGAAAAGCTACATTGTACAGGCAGCACATCCATAACACAGAAGGTGTGGATACATATTTATCAACAAAGCCCAAGCAGTTTTCATATTAGGTGCATTATTTATTGACCCAATTCATTAAGTATATTTTTTAACTGGTCAGCAATACATTGGGTATATATTTTCTATTAAAAAACCTCAATACCAATTTGACGAACATCTGAAGACTTTCTAGGAGTAGGAATTTTCAATGATGAAGCAGACTGAACAACAATTTTTGTTTATTAGAAGATGAATTAATGGAATTAACTTCACTATCATCATCTACAGACTCCATGCATCATGCTGCTGCTACTGAAGATGAAGCAGAATACATAAAAGGAAACAAATTTTGATGTACACCAGTTTTCCCTTTCTTGCTGTTAGTCTAACAGTTTATCTTCAACAGCAGCTGGACAAACATCACAATAATTCAACCAATGTTTCTCCATTCTGTGTGTCATACTCAGAAGAAAAGAACTTGCTCTTAGCTTTAACAGTTTTCCCATGTTCACGTCTAGTGAAAAATTTCCATACAAATGGTTTTGGCTTTCCCCACCTCTGAATAATAAATGATGTCACTGTTACTAATATCTTACTACACCTCTACCCCGATAGAACGCAGTCCTCGGGAGCCCAAAAAATCTTACTGCATTATAGGTGAAACCGCGTTAGATTGAACTTGCTTTGATCTGCCGGAGTGCGCAGCCCCGCCCCCCCCGGAGCACTGCTTTACTACATTATATCTGAATTCGTGTTATATCAGGGTAGAGGTGTACTTATGGAATGCTCTCTAAATTCTGAAGCATTTTGTATTTCCATCAAGCAGTAGCCATTCAAATTGGTTTCTAATTGCTGCAGTTACAGAAGACTGCAGCTAATCAAAATGTTTCCAGGTATGCTGCCCCCTCCCCTCAAGTCTTACAGACTCCAAGATTACATTGAGGGGGAAGGAGCACACAGCCCCTCCCTGCAGCAAACACAGCGGACTCATAAGCAATAGCAGGAGGAGAATCAGAACAGGAAAAGAGGGGCCTCTACAGCCATGTGATGTCTCACACCCCTCATTAGCATAGAATTTTTCACATCAGCAAGGTTTGGCTGGGGATACATGGAGTTATAAAGGGGATGCTGTATTTGTTGAAAGGGGAGGAGGAGGGATTTATTTATGTGGGCGTTTATTGTGGATTGTTTGCTTTGCTCAGGATGAGGGAGGTGCGTGGGGGGTTTAATAGCAGTGATACTTTTGTTTATTAAGGGAGAGACTTACTGGCTGTGCATCTGGTGCAGGAGAAGTTTTAATGACTGTGAGCCCTCCTTTCCTTCCCCCATTCCCGTCTTGATTTAATTTCTGTATGTTTGTCTAATCACTTTAGAGTGCTGGCTCTTTGGGGCAGGGACACTGCTTAACTTGTTCAATGTGCTTTGTAAACCGCCATGTACAGTGGTGGCCTGATATACACAAAGATACACAGTGTATGCGTGTTTGTTCTAGAAGATTCTAGCAATTCAAGAGGCTCAACTTTCAGTTTACCTTCCCCCCCTGCCCCCACAACAGGTGTCATTAGTATGTAGTAAAGAGACTGAAGATGACATTTAAGTAGGCTTGCTAACAAATAGCACCATGATGCAACCAAAAAGGTAGACCACCACTTACATCAGGTCATTCTTGTTGGGATATCTGACAATATTTGACAGTAATCAAATAATAGGCAATCAACTGACTGGCTTGCCAACCCTAAGTCAGCCTTACCTGGGAAATGAGAATTCTACTTAAAACTAAGAAAAAATTAAAGTCCAACTGACTTTTCACTATAAATGCATTTACCCTATTTCACTTCTCTCAGCATCAGAGGATGAAGCTAAACTTGTTAGTTCCCCTTTGGGGTTTCAATTCCCAACATTGCAGGCGTGATTTATATATAAACCAGAGAACTATTTTAAAATTGATTTTTTGTTAAAGCTCATTCATAAAGAGGCAGCTTACTCCACAAAGGGGCTCTGAGGATTCATTAGTTCACATTTATACAGCTAAGTAAAAGCTGTGTATTTATGTGGTTTATGATATATAGCCAATGAAAAACAGTTTATCATTTTAACCCTCACTCTTATTGCAAAGGATATTATTGAAGGAGACAAATCACCTAGAGGATAGAACAGTCCACTGGAAGTCAATAACTAGTGTTCTAGCCTCTGCTCAGACACCAGCTCTATAGCACTGGACTAGTCATTCATTCCCTCTACATTTGTTTTGTCCACTTAAACTACAACACAAAGTGGTGCACTGACATGGCCAAGGTCACACAAAGGTCAACAGGCTTTGCTAGGAAGAGAACACAGGTCTGATTATTCCCTGTCCTACACCTTAGCTTCTTGACTATTCTGCCTCTAAAAATAAAAACATGAACGAGGCTTAAGAGGCAGTCTCCACGTCTCCTTGAGTTCACGAGAGATGAGGTAATGAGTGAACTTGAGACAGCCCTTTCCTGTGCCAGGACAGATTTAGGCTCTGCCTAAAAGGGATGGATTCTCCCATTGCTTTGATGGATAAGTGTTCAGCTACTGCTGACTTGAGTTCTGGCTTTATTTATTTTTATGGCTCTTCAATAGGAAGCAAGTCTAATCCTGAATTTGCAAATGCAGTTGCAGGTCTTACAAGTGTAATTATTGTCAGGGGGAAGAGTTAGAGGCGTGTCCTCATGAGGTGTTCTTTTCTCCTGCAGACACTTCACACACCATTCCTCAGAATGGAACATAGGCTCATGGCACAGACCTCTCCATCTGGGTCTGTCCAGCTCAACAAGTTTCCAGGTTTTAATGTCTATCTTGCATGCTTTGAGGTTGGCCTTCAAGGTGTCTTTATATCTGAGGATGGGCTGACCCTTAGAGTGGGCTCCTATGCTCAGTTGGCTGTACAGCATTGCTTTTGGTATATGGGAAACCTCCATGCAGACCACGTGTCTGACCCAGTGAAGTTGAGCCCTGATGAGCATGATCTTGATGCCAGGGATTTGGCACCTCTCCAGGACTTCAGTATTGGGGATTCTGTCTTGCCACTTGATGTTACAGGTGGATCTCAGGTGATCAAGGTGGAAGCTTTCCAGCTGTTTGATGTGGTGCCTGAAGAGCATCCACGTCTTGCAGCCATAAAGGAGTTAGGTGAGTACAACAGTGGGGTAGATTTTGATCTTGGTTCTGAGGCAGACTCCATGCTCGCTCCAGAGCCTGCAAAATGCCAGGCTGACCTTTGCCAGATGCTGAGTGATCTCATTGTCCAACATGGTGTTGCTGGAAAGTGTGCTACCCAGGCATCAGAATTTCCTGAGTTAGCTGAGGGGTGTGTTGTCAGTTGTGATGAGGGGATCATGGCACTTGTGATGCTGGCTGGTACATAATCTCCATCTTTTTCAGGCTGAGGGTGAAACTGAAGCATTCTGAGACATAGATAAAGTGGTCCACGATAAGTTGAATGTCCATCAGCATGTCTGCAATGAGGGCACAGTCATCAACAAACAGGAGCTGTTTGATGACCTTGGTGCGGGCCCTGAGTCACTGTAGATTGGCTAGACCCCCATCCAATGTACACTTCTGTCAAGGTCCTGGAATGCGAACACAAGCGTGGCTGAAAAGACAATAGCAAAGAGGACTTGGGCCACTGTTTGGTGCCATAGGTGACACGGAAGGCTTCTGATGAATTCCAACATGCCATCACGCGGTCATCATGAAATGAATGGATGACAGCAACAGTCTTCTCTGGGCAACCAAATTTATGAAGGAGTTTCCATATGCTCTCGTGATTCACCACGCCAAAGGTCATAGGTCTGTTCCTGAGCCATCTCCCACATTTGTCAGGCTGCAAAAATCATGTCCATGCTGCCATGGCCAGCATGAAAGCCACACTGTGACTCTGGATTCACCAAGTGCACTAGGTGAGAGATGAGCCTGTTGAGGACAATCTGTGCAAGGATCTTCCATGCTATAAACAGCAGTGAAATTCCACAAAGATTGTCCCTTCCTTTTGTATGGATGGACTATGAAAGCATCCTTATATTCCTTGGGCAATGTACCCTGTTCCCATATAGTCTTGAAAAGGCTAGTGAGTTTCCTGATCAGGTGGGCACCTCTACATGTGTACGCTTCCAGTGGAATGCTGTCAGGGCCTGGAGATTTGCCTGTGGACAGCTGCTCAATGGCCTTAGTAATCTCATCTAAAGAAGGGGCCATAGCTCCTCCAGGATAGAACACTGCAGGAATGGGTTGATGGCTTTGTTGGACATAGTGGATTGACAGTTCAGGAGACTGTCAAAGTCTAAAATAGGAACTGATGAAAGCTACAATGGGCCTGACATGGTTGCACCTAGGCTGCTTTTAATAGCACAGCTGACAGAGCCTGGGGCTTGCTCTCCACACAGATTTGCTCCAGTTCAACTAAAGTTGTAGTGTTGTGCTGATTTAGCTAAGTGAGTGTGAAGTTTTACATCAGTCTAGCAGTTCTTTTGCTAAACTGGTGCAATCTCACACCTTTAGTAACAGTGATGCCTCGTCTGTGCTTAGACCATCTCTTCAATCTATTCGGGTGAGGACTGTGGTATGACTTGCTAGTCAGCACACGGTAGCCCTGCTGGCAGCCACCAAAGGCGCAAAGGCAGAGTGCCCTCAGAGCATGGACATGCCACACAGATCAGGGCACAAGGTACCAGTGAGAGCGGCGGGAACCACGGCCCTACTTCAGGACACTGTTTCGGAAGGAAGCTCCCCCCGCCCCACGTTACACACACGCAGGGCAGGTGGGCGCCGCGGGGCGCTCTGGGCCTGGGCCCCAGGATGTGGCACTTGCTCCCCCACGGACTCTGACACAGATCAAGCTGGAGCAGCTTTGCGGGGAGGCTGAGGCCGCCCTGCCGCCGAGGTAGGCGGGTTAATGCTGCAGGGCGGTCGCGGGCAGAGGCCGGGCTGCAGCCTCACGGCGGGTCCCGTCCCAGCGCACCCCCAGGGGCGGGCAGCACCGAGCCCCCGCCGCCCCCCGGGGCTCAGGGCAGCCGGAACCTCCCCCCGCTGGGACCCTTCCCCGGGGCGGGGCGCGGCGCGGCCGGGCCGGACTCACGATCGGCTGCGTATGGTGCGGGTCGTTGAGCTGCGTCTGGTACTGGCGCTTGAGGCGGGCGCGGAGCGCCAGACGCTCCGCCTGGGCCTGGCGCTTCTCCGGGGACTCGTTGTACTCGTTCGGGTCAAGCTCCCGGGGCAGCGAGGCCAGGGGGGCCGGCCGGTAGCTGGAGGTCGAGCGGGAAGAAGGCGCCGCCATTTTTTTTCGGAGAGCCGCCCGCACCGCCTAAGAGCGGAAGCGACCTGTACCCCGGAAGTACTGGCTGCGCAGGGGGGAGGGGCGCGCGGCACGGCTTGTTGCTATGGTTACTAAGTGACGCCTGGCCTCGCGCTGCGCGGGGGGAGGGGCAGGACACTGGGTTCCTGCCCTGGTGCTGGGCCTGCGTGGGGAGCGCGGCAGCAAACGCCCCAGCGCCGGGACGGTCCCCGCCCCCCCTACGCCGGCCGGGCCTTGGAAGGAACGGGGGCAGCCGGGCGTTGGGAGAGCCCGGGCCCTGCCAGGGTGTGACCGGCGCCTCAGGCCCCTTCTGAGCCGCTCACCCGACAGGCTGGGGGGCGCTTTGAGCTCTGCTGATGCAAGCGGCCCGGTAACAGCGGGTGTTGTTGTTTCTTTGCCCTCTGGTTCCCCGGCCGGGCCTTAAGAGAAATCCCCGCCATGGGCTCCAGCGCTGCTCTGCATGCACGAGGGCTAGGAGCTGCCTTTTAAAAAAGCGTGAGATTCCCATGCACTTGTCTGATGCCAGCCGCTGGGGCTTAAAGAGAAATATTACATAGCGTGAGACGCAGGCCCGGGATAAACTTGCGAGAGTTGGCAACTCTGGCCCCTGACTAACTCTGATGCAGATCAGGTGACTGGAGCCAGGAAATAATGATATTCCTGTCCCTTCCCTCTGCATCACACCCTTGTCCCATGCAAGTTGGTGTGCTCAGGCCGAAGAGGCAGCACACCAGCTTCTGTTCTTGGCATCATCCTATGAATGTGAGCTGGGGCACACAACCATTAGTGGGAGACTTATTTCAGTGGGACTTCACTAGGGTTACCATATTTCAACAATCAAAAAAAGAGGACGGGAGGAGCCCCGCCCCAGCCCCGCCCTCGTCCTGCCCTAGCCCCATCCCTGCCCCTTCCACACCCTCCCACTTCCCACCCCCCTCAGAACCTCCAACCCTCCCCCCGCTCCTTGTCCCCTGACTGCCCCCTCCTGGGACCCCTGCTCCTAACTGCCCCCCAGGACTCCACCCCCTAACTAAGCCTCCCTGCTCCTTGTCCCCTGACTGCTCCCTCCTGAGACCCCTGCTCCTAACTGCCCCCCAGGACTCCACCCCCTAACTAAGCCTCCCTGCTCCTTGTCCCCTGACTGCTCCCTCCTGAGACCCCTGCTCCTAACTGCCCCCCAGGACTCCACCCCCT